ATCAGAATTGGGGCACCTGGCTGGCTCAGTCCGTAGAGCACGCGACTCTTGATCTCGAGGTTGTGAGTTCAAGACCCACACTGGGTGTAGAGATTACTTAAAAATAAAATCTTAGGGGCGCCTGGGTGACGAATTCGGTTGAGCATCTGACTTTGGCTCACGCCATGATCTCATGGTTTATGGGTTCGAGCCCTGCATTGAGCTCTCTGCTGACAGCTTGGAGCCTGGAGCTGCTTCAGATTCTGTGTCTCCCTCTCTCTCTCTGCTCCTTCCCCGCTCACACTTTGTCTCTCTCTCTAAAAAATAAACATAAAAAATAATTTTAAAAAATCTTAAAGGGGCGCCTAGGTAGCTCAGTTGGTTGAGTGTCCAACTTGGGCTTAGGTCATGATCTCACGGTTTGTGAGTACGAGCCCCACATCGGGCTCTGTGCTGGCAGCTCAGAGCCTGGAGCTGCTTCGGATTCTGCGTCTCGCAGTCTCTTCCCCTCCCCCACTTGTGCTCTCTTAAAAATAAGCATGAGAAAACATTTTAGTAAAATCTTAAAAAAACCAAAATTTATAACAATTAAAATAATTAGTTCCAGTATATAAGATCAATGAAACAACAAATACGGATAAGAATAAGACCTTACTATGAGTGTGTGTGTGTGTGTGTGTGTGTGTGTATAATAGCACCAAAAGTAAGTTGCAAAAGAAGGAATTATACAACAAATTATGCTAGAAGAATTGCTCACCATTTTAAGGGAAAGCTCGTGTTGAATTTTAACTTCCTCCTGCGTGCTCCGATGAATTCCAGAGAGGTCAGAGAGAAAGAGAGACTACAGGAGCGCCTGAGGCTCAGGCATCAGGCGTCCAGTCCTGTTCTTGATTATCAGCTCAGGTCATGATCTCATGGCTTTGTGGGTTCGAGATCCGCTTTTGGCTCTGCGCTGCCACCACAGAGCCTGCTTGGGATTCTCCCTCTCTGCCCCGCCCCTACTCGTGCTGTCTCAGTCTCTCTCAAAGTAGATAAACTTTAAAACAAAAACCAGGAGTGACTACGAAAAGATGTACATTTTAATCTGAGTCCTTGGGGCGCCTGGGTGGCTCACTCAGTGAAGCGTCCGGCTTCGGCTCAGGTCATGATCTCACGGTTTGTGAGTTCGAGCCCCGTGTCGGGCTCTGTGCTGACAGCTCAGAGCCTGGAGCCTGTTTCGGATTCTGTGCCTCCCTCTCTCTCTCTGACCCTCCCCTGCTCATGCCGTCTCTCTCTCTCAGAAACAGATAAAAAAAAACATTAAAAAAAAAATCTGAGTCCTCAGTGGGAATCCTCTTTCTAAGAGTCAAAAAAAGACATGACAAAGAGATAACAGAAGGATCCAACTACATTAAAAAGTAAAACCTCTCCCCAAACCCTCTCTAAACAAATGTAAAGCAAACGGTAAGCTCAAAAAATACTTGCAACACATGAGAGGTCAAAGAGTAACACACAACAGATCAAGTGCTCTGACACACTGTTGATGGCAATACCAATTTTCGTGAAGACAACTTGGTAATGTGGTAGGCAGGGTCCCTGCCCGCCAGGAACAAGCTCTGTACAAACCCTACCCTTGGATGTGACCAGAGCCTGTGAACAGCATGGCTGTTACCCTGTGATCCGGTTAGTAATCCACCGGTTTTGACTTAAGCAAAATGGAGTTTATCCTGGGTGAGCCAGACCTAATTGGAAAAGCCTTTAAAATAAAGTCAGTGTCAGGTGGCTGTGAAGAAGGAAGCCACCATGTCAATCATAACTCAAAAAAAATTTTTTTTAAGCTGCCACATTGTGAGCGGAGCTGTGAGCAACCCCCTAGCAACAGGCAACAAGAAAGCAGGGACGTCAGCCCCTCACCCATAAAGAACGAACTTATGCCCAGCAGCCTGAGTGAGTCTGGAAGGCCCCAGGTCCGCGTGAAGATGCGGTCTGGCTGACAGCGGGGTCGTGGCCTGGGCTCCCGGGCCGACAGAAGTGGAGATGATGCACACATGTGCCGTTTTAAGCCAGCCACTAAGCTTGTGGTGATTTGTTAGGCAGTAACGGAAAAGTAGTACAGGTAATATGTATCAAGAACCCTAAACAGATTCATGTTCCTAAATGGAAAAGTTTTTATCGCTAAGATTAAAGACCTCTTGTTCTGAACTAGGGAGCCTCAGGGATGGAAGGGTGTTAGCTCTCCCTTAACCTACAGAATCAGTGACTCCAGTCAAAACACCACAGGTCTTTTTGGGGACTGGACCAAATTATCCTAAAGTCCACGTAGGAGAGTAGAAACGTGAAAATAGCAGGAAACCTGAAAAGCAGATGACATGAAAATGCGCTGCCACAGAGAGGGCCGTGGTGGGCGAGAGGTGCCTCAAGGGCCCGGGGCTCATGAGGGAGGCACCAAGTGAAAGAAATGGAGGAAAGCTGGAAAGTTCGCTCAGTGGTTCACAGACAACTGACGAGACAGCTGAGAAAACAATGTTGCCTCTGTCCTGACTCAAATTCTACAGGAATCAGAAACTTTAACAAAGAAAATAAAACAGTAACAGTTTTTCAATTTTTTTTTTTGATGTTTTATTTCTGAGAGAGAGAGAGAGAGAGAATGAGCAGGGGAGGGTCAGAGAGAGGGAGTCACAGAATCTGAAACAGGCTCCAGGCTCTGAGCTGGCAGTCAGCACAGAGCCCGACGCGGGGCTCGAACTCACGGACCGCGAGATTATGACCCGAGCAGAAGCCGGACGCCTAACTGACTGAGCCACCCGGGCACCCCAAAACAGTAACAGTGTTTGTAGGTTTGGCGGAAAGAGCACCTTTTCGCTCTGACGGACTCTGAGAGCCGTCAGGAAAAGACTGCTGTGTCCATCAGTGCAGGAAGCAATCCGCCGCAGCTGACAAGCAAACCAGCGCTAGTGGTCAACTTCCTACATATACAAAAAGCTCTTGCACACAAAAGTCCAAGTACAAATGAGGAAAGAATAGGACATGCATTCACAGGAAAATAAATACCGCTGGACCATGAACAAGCAACGTGATGCTCCCCCAACGCTCTCCGCGCTACGGTAAAGCTTCAGGGAAGGCGATGGTGCCCAGTGGGGGCAGAAGTCAGTACTAACATTTTCATATAACATGGGAAAAAATTTAGCAAACTGACAAGAATCGGGAGGGTATGGAGAAACGTCCTGTTTACAGATTCTTAGTGGAAATATATATTGATATAATGTTTATGAAAAACAACTTGACAATATTTACCAAAATCTTCATTCTAGTAAAATACCCAGTAGATAAACCCTCACAAACGTGCACATATATACATGCAAGAATGTTAATTGCAGGATCACTTGAGAAAGGTAAAAATTGGAAAGAACCTAAGTTGTGTTCATTAAAGGGAGCTGGTTATGTAACAGATGCCCCCCCCCCCCCGGTGGAACTCGGGCTGCCGAGAGAAGGGGCCACACCTGCGTGTGCAAACACGGGGCCCAGCCACGCCCTGGGCTCAGCCACCAGACTCACCCTTCCCTAATGTGACCCTAAATGCATCAAACGGTGGATGCACATACGAAACGTCTGGAAGGAAAAGAATTATTCTGTATGCAGTTTTTTTTTTTTAAATGTTTTATTTATTTCTAGGAGAGAGAGAGACAGCATGAGCAGGGGAGGGTCAGAGAGAGAGGGAGTGACAGACTCTGAAACAGGCTCCAGGCTCCGAGCTGGCAGTCAGCACAGAGCCCGACGCGGGGCTCGAACTCACGGACCGCGAGATCATGACCTAAGCGAAAGTCGGACGCTTAACCAACTAAGCCACCCAGGCGCCCCTCTGTATGCAGTTTTTAAATCACATGGTCATAACCTTTTAATTAGTCTTAATATACAAAAAGTGCATATTCATTCATGTAAAAAACATGAACTCCCCAACTTAAAATACATGCAAAATGTGATGAAATGCAGTTTTGACTTAATGATAAAAATAAAAAAGACACTCTCGGTGCCTAGGGCACGCCGTGCGTCATTCATTGGTAGTTAAAACAGTCGAAGCTGTGGATGCGGTGATGAGGGCGGAGGGAGCCCGGGGCCCCAGCACCCCCTCTACCCTCAGGCTTGAGCAAATGACCTCTCTGTGCCTCAGGTCCTTTGTCTGTAAAACACAGCTCAGGCCAGGAGCTGCTTCAGAACCTGCTGTGAGCCGGTACTCACCGTCACTACTGCCCTGGGCTCGGAATGGGGTCGGCACAGAACGAGCAGCTGTCCGCCTGCCCTTGCCCAGCGCTGGGTTCATGAGCTGTTTTAAGTGGGGAACAACACACCGCAAAGCAGTGGCACTTTGGCGACAATTCTGCGGCAGCGTGATTATTCTAACTCTAGCGACTCTATTAGGTACACACGGAGAAAGAGGCCTCTCTGTGGTGGCTTACCAGAGGCCTGAGAGGCTGCGCCTCAAACCTGGAAGCCCAGGGGGCAGTCTGGGAGGTGCAACAACAGTGGACGCAAGAAAGCACTTCTGCTTTTGTCTCGTGTAACATCCGACAAACGGCATTTCGCAAGTCCCGTGCGATCCTTGTAAGCTTCACAAGCTTAAGAAAGTGTTGTGGCCGACATCAGAGATGCTCATTCGTCGGCGTTCTGGTGAGGGTCTGTGCAGAGCAAAGTGCATATCCGAACCTTCACCCCTGGGCTAGATGCCTCTTCTATTCTTTCTCCTCCCTCTCCTTCCACGTCTGTCACAGAAGCCGGCCGGCAGCTCAGTCGCTCCACTGGATGGTGGAAGTGTGTCTCCCTTCTCCTTCCTTGAAAGGGGGCATCGAGTACTCGCCACCCTCATGGCTGAGCTGTCCGTGCGTTAAAGCTCTGTAACATGTTTGGCCTGCCTTTGACCCTGCCCCCTTCTTTTCCTGAACCGCACATCTCGTTGTTTAGCTCTGGCCCTAACACAGACGTTCTCTGCCTCATAGAAGAGCTTTTCCACAGACATATTAAATACCTGGGTCTTTTTTTCCTTCTAGAGAAACCTGATGTAAAGGTAAACTCGAGCAAGAAGAAAGTTGTCATTCCACAGATCATCATCACTAGAGCCTCAAAAGAGACTCTCACCAGCTACGGTTCCGTAGACGAAGAGCAGAGAACCATTCAGGAGCAGGCTGAATGGGGCCCCTACTGCCGACACAGAAACCCTAGTACAGTACACGCCTATGACTTCCGAGAATAAACAAGCGCCCCGAGGAGCTGTCGCTTTTCACTGTGCGACACCGGTGCTGGCAGAAGGGCCGTCCTGCCCTGTGAGAAGCTGCAGCGGCCGCTTCAGGGACTGACATCCCGCCAGTGACCACCCTGGGCTCACCTGCCCCACACCTGCTGGCAGCTTGGCAGAGGGCAAGAGTGACTCTGGCTCAGAGAGTGACCTTTGTGGCATTAAGTGACTCAGAAAACCTCCGGTGTCACTGCCTCTGCAGAGCGATGGACAAACAGCAGGCAGCACATCTCACTCTCTTGGTGGGCAATTAAAACCCTTCCCAGCCACGTCCGCAGGAGCGTGGTGTAAGTACTCCGCAATTATGGTGAACGAGATATTATATGGTGTCCCCATATAATTATGGTGTCCCCCAACTTGGAAAAGAGGTTGGACTCTGAAGACTCCATTTTAAGGTGTCATGTCCCAGAACAGGGAAGTGCACAGTCACCTGGGGGACCCACAGGCTCCTAGCTTGACTGTAACCTGAGGCAGGGTTTTGAAGGATCCGGAAAAAGAATGTGGACCTGGGTTAGGGGCCACCCGTGGCACTTAGAACTTGAGCCATGGCCTTGTCAGAGCTGCCGTGGGAGGAGGGGAGTTGATCTGACAACTTCCCATCTTTCTGGCTGTAGATGAGGGCTCCCGACAGGGAGGGGCCACTCAGGGACCCCTTGCTGGTGTCCCAGTCCTTGCCAGTTCTCACCGACAGCTCCTGGGTCAGACTCCATGCTCCTCCAGGGTGGCTGCAGGGAATGCCCTGCCCTGCCTGGTCTGACACATTTAGTCTTGTAACTGTGTGTTTCCTTGGTTCCCAGAATGGTCAACAGGATTCACACTCAGTCTTTATGTCTTTATTAAAGATTTTATATTTTAGGCAACCTCTGCACCCAACGTGGGGCTCAAACCCACAACCCCGAGATCAAGAGTTGCATGCTTCACCTACTGAGCCAGCCAAGCACCTCTCTGTCTCTATCTGTTGATAAGAATCCATCCCTTTAGTATTAAATAGTACACTTGACTTCCAGTTTCAGTATAAACCCCAAAAGAAGAATAAATCTCATACTGACATTGTTTAATAACACATTATTAGCACCATTATTTTGTGTTTATTTAATATGCATTGTCACAACTAAGTATCTGTACAGAAGAATCAAGCCCATGCAAATGTGAACTTGACCCCAATGGGTCAGCATGCCTACCTTCTCCATAAAATTTCTAGTACCCATTAAATTTCAATTTGAGGGGCGCTTGGGTGGCTCAGTCAGTCAAACGTCCAACTTTGGCTCAGGTCATGATCTCGGTGGCTTGTGGGTTCAAGGCCCACGGAGGGCTTGGTGCTGACAGCTCAGAGCCAGGAACCTGCTTCAGATTCTGTGTCTCCCTCTCTCACCGCACCCCCCACCGCGCTCACACACTCTCTCTCTCAAAAATAAACATTAAAATAAAAAAAAATCTATTTGACCTAGAAATTGCCCTCCTACCCCCGCCCTGAGAATCTCGAACAAATGATCCGAAAACTATACTTACCAAGGTACTAATTCTCATTTCGTTATCAGCTAGAAGCTTAGCTTATGAATGAATTAAAAAGGGACGGAAATGAACATGATAATTAGCTTAAATTAAAACAAATGACTTTGACTAAGTTATTACTAATTTCATGATTATCAAATGTCCTCAGTCTATGTTAGTATCAGCGTTTACAGGGCAGTCCCCTGCACGGGAGACGTTTCCTGCAACTCTATTTAAGTGCACTCGGCGCCCGGCAGGTCCCCCTCACCGCCCTGCGTCATCTTTCTCCTCGGCGCGCGTCATCCCCGGGCCACCTACTTACTTACCCCGTCTGCCTGCGTCCCGCTAGAATGCAAGATCCCCAGGGCCGAGCCTGACGTAGTGGGTGCTCCACACGCACGTGTCAGGGCACGTCCGTCGCAGCGTCCCATCCATTCTTCCCTTGCACAGCCCTCCGACGCGCCCTCCTCTCCCTGACCCCCGCAGGTCTGGCCCAAGCCCCTCGCGACGGGCTCCAGATCGGCCCTCGCGAGCTCCAGAGGAGCCCCCAGCCCCTTGGACTTCGGCCCCCCTCCTCCGGCAGCCGTTCCTCAGCACCCCAGCCGGCTCAGGTGCCCGCGCTTAAAACTAAAATAAGGCCCAAACCGCGGTAGTGCGACGCGACGGCAGCAACCGACGTCCTCCAGGAGCCTTCGGGAGGCTTCCCGCGACCCGTTGCTAAAGTGGGCGTGTCCCGGAAGTAGACCACGCGCCTGCGCGCAAGAACCTTGTCTGCGCCTGCGCACACGGGAAGCAGGGGCGGTGCGCCCGGCATGGGGGACCCGGAGTCCGAGCCGGAGCAGATCCGTTTGAAGTGTATCCGTAAGGAGGGCTACTTCACGGTGCCTCCAGAACACAGGGTGCGACGGGGGGGGGGGGGGGCCCCTCGCCGTAGCTCCGCCGGGGACAGGCCGGGACCGAGACGCCCGGGAGCCCCTTAGTGTCGCGCTCAAGCGTTGAGGTCGCCGCCGACGCCGGCGGGAACGACAGTCCCAGAGTTCCTCGCGGCCGGCGCGGAACCCGGCGGCGAGCCTCCCGGGCCGGGGCCCGAGCTGGGGGCGGGCAGCAACCGGCCACTGGAAGAGCAGGCTCCGGGCTCTACCGCGGGCGTCCCTTCGCCTTGCGCGGGGGGGCGGGCTTTGCGGGCTGGCCCGGAGCCCCTGTGTCAGGAGGCGTGGTCTCCCTGGGGCTTCGAGTGGCTGTGACCGGCCCCACCTGACACCCAGCAGCTTGCACTTGTGTTTTGCTCTGTGCGAGGCGTCTGCGTGTGTGACTGTCGTTTAGTCCTCTCAGCGACCCTCCATAAAGGTGACGAAGGTGAAGCGTAAGGGGTGCGGAGTGCTTTTACCAAGGCAGGCAGCTCGTGCAGGCGCAGGTTTGAGCCGTGGTGTCTTAACCGCTTACCGGCGCTGAGAGCCCCACGCGCGTCATTCGCCGGCTGTGGCGCCGGAGGCCCCCGAGCGGTCGCTGCGATGCCCTGAGCGACGGGAAGCCTCGGAGGGGAGCTGAGGCGCCCAGATGAGGACACAGTTCACAGTAGTGGGCGCTTCAAGATACGAAAGTATCGAGGCTTCAGAGAAAGAATTGTTTTCTGCTGGGAGAAATTTTTTGTGAAAGAAAGGTGTAAGGGAGCGCCTGGGGGGCTCAGTCGGTTAAGCGTCAGACTTTGGCTCAGGTCATGATCTCCCGGTTCATGGTTACCTCCCGCCTGGGGCTCTTTGCTGACGTTTCAGAGCCTGGAGGCTGCTATGGATGTGTCTCCCTCTCTCTCTGCCTCTTCCCCACTCACGTTCTGTCTCCAAAAATAAACACTAAAAAATTAAAAAGTAAAAAGAACTTTTTAATCAACAATTTAATCAAGATCTTTGAGCTCTTTCCGTCTCCAGAGTGTAATTTAGACCAGTGCTGCTCAGTATGCCCCCTGTGATTGTGGAAATGTTGCTTCCTGACTCGTCCAGTATGGTTACCGTGAGCCACGTAGCACCGTGGAGCACGACACACATGGCAGCTGAGGAAATGAAATTTGAATTTGAATTAGTTTTAACCATCTGTGGCCAGCGGTTATAGTTTTCCGACCGCACGCATCTGGCCCCCGGGACTGGGAGGGAGCAGGCTCTCCGACAGCGCATTCAGTGTCTGCCGGCCCAGTCCCTTCACCCTCCTGTTCCCATTTGAAAAGCCCGAGTGTGTGGTTGTCTTTCCGTTTGGTGAGCAAGACGTGAGCGAGCTCCTTGGTGCAAATTGAACGTGAAAGGTCCATCTTTAGTTGTGGCATTAGCTGGCCGACCCCAGCACTGCCGGCACCTCTGTCTTTCAGTTGGGGCGCTGCCGGAGCGTGAAGGAGTTTGAGAAGCTGAACCGCATCGGGGAAGGCACCTATGGCATTGTCTGTGAGTGGCCACGGTGGGAGGCCGGGGGTGCGGGGGACTGGCGCCCAGTGCTCCACAGCCAGGGTGAAAGTGAGCTCTCATCCATGGTGTCATTGCCCTCAGCTGCACACCAGGTCTGAATAAATGTGAGCATCAGATTGCCGAGGGAGCCACAGGTTGGGGCAACGGTTACAGCAAAATGCAGAACTTCCAGAAGCAGCCAGGGCTGCAGCCTGCGGCAGCTGTGAAGTTAGCGCACGTTACACTAATGCGGTTCAGAAGCAGCGGCGCATTAGCTATGAGGAGCCTCCTTGGCACAACAGAAGGGATTTTTTTTTTCCTGGATAAAGTATCTTATTTGCTGTTAGAACATAGCAACAGCAGAAGGCAGAGCACTGAGCCGCATCCTGACTCTATGAGAAACACTTAGTAGCACCCTGTACGCAGCTTAGGTGAGAGGACTCCCCAGAGCGCACGTGCCTGGACCTAGAGTCACTGGGCACCCAGGTATGACAGGAGAGAAAGGGAACCCAGAGGCCCTGAATGAGGCCCCCGTGTGGCACAAGGCGGGGGTCATGTGGGAGCAAACCTACTTGGTCATTCCGTCATGGGTGAGTTTCCACTCCAGATCGGGCCCGGGACACACAGACGGAGGAGGTTGTGGCCCTGAAGAAAGTGCGGATGGACAAGGAGAGGGACGGTGAGCTCCAGGTGGGAGGGGCGGAAAGGCGCCCCTGAGGCTCCCTCTGGCCTGGGCCCCCAGTGCCGAGAGCATCCGGATGAGGCCCTGCCTGTCCTACCCTTCACCTCTCCAGCTCCCCGCCCTCCCCTCCATGCTCCAGGCCTTAGCTTGCCTGAGCCCTGTGCTGTCCTGCTTGGTGACTGCCCTATCTTCTGTGTCAGCCCCGCCATCACCCCTCCACGCCCGAGACCAGGCGGGCAGGCCAGGAGTCAGTATAGAGAGCTGCTGTCTTGCGTTGTTGATGAAGGAAGGGTTAAAGGTGCCTGTTCTGGTGGCCTTGATTCTCCCTGAGCTCCTGGACAGAGCCCTGACCGTGGTCGTGGTGGGGCTCACTGAGGAGGCTTGCTGAAGGGGACTTGTGTGCAGGAGTGGGGGTTGCTGAGTTGCAGGTCTGGTTGTAGGGGTGAGGGTACCTGAACTGCAGGTCTGGTTGCAGGGTTCCTTGTCTGTAGGGGTGGGGGTTGTTGATTTGTAGGTCTGGTTGCAGGAGTGGGGGGTTGAGTTGCAGGACTCCTTGTGTGCGGGGGTTCTTGAGGTGCAGGTCTGGTTGCAAGGGTGGGGGTTCTTGAGGTGCAGGTCTGGTCGCAGGGGTGGGGGTTGCCGAGGGCGGGTCTGGTCGCAGGGGTGGGGGTTGCCGAGGGCGGGTCTGATCGCAGGGGTGGGGGTTGCCGAGGCCTGGGTCTGGTCGCAGGGGTGGGGGTTGCCAAGGGCGGGTCTGGTCGCAGGGGTGGGGTTGCGGAGGCTGGGTCTGGTCGCAGGGGTGGGGGTTGCCGAGGGCGGGTCTGGGTCTGGTCGCAGGGGTGGAGGTTGCGAGGGCGGGTCTAGTCGCAGGGGTGGGGTTGCCGAGGGCAGGTCTGGTCGCAGGGGTGGGGTTGTCGAGGCCGGGTCTGGTTGCAGGGGTCCCCATCAGCAGCCTTCGAGAGATCACACTCCTCCTTCGCCTTCGCCATCCGAATATCGTGGAGCTGAAGGAGGTGGTTGTAGGGAACCATCTGGAGAGGTAGGCAGTCTGCTGGTCCCCTGCGCTGGGCCCTGCTGAGCCCGCCCTGCCCGTGCCCTCCCTGTGCTTCCCCCAAGGTGGAGTTTGTCCTTCCTGCAAGCCTGGGAGGGTCCTGCGGCCCACCTGGGTGGAGGCCGTGTGTCTTCCCCTTTTCTTCCAGCATCTTTCTGGTGATGGGTTATTGTGAGCAGGATCTGGCCAGCCTTCTGGAGAACATGCCGACCCCGTTCTCTGAGGCCCAGGTGTGAGGCTGGGGGCCCCGGAGCAGATGTACCTCCGCATTTGTGCCGAACATGTGTCACCTTAACTGATGCATCCTGTCCTTTGCATAGGTCAAATGCATTGTGCTGCAAGTGCTCCGAGGCCTTCAGTACCTACACCAGAACTTCATCATCCACAGGTAGGAGGGACCTCAGGTGCTGGGAGATGGCATCGTCCTGGAGGATGGGCGGCCTGAAGGGACGTTTGTCTAGTGTGCCCCTTCATAATACAGGGGAAAGGTGACCTGGCATCAGTGCATTTCTCTAACTGTTCCTTGGGGCAGGATCCAGGCCCAGACAGCACCTGCTTTCCACCAGGGGTGCTGACGGTGTGGACAGATCTCTCCTGGGGTCTCGTCACACACAAAACACTAAGCCCGGAGGCGGAGGGAGTGGGGGATCTTGCAGGCCCACGGCAGGACTGTGCCATCAGTGGGGAACGCCCACAGGCCTGGAAGTTAGGTCTGGGCTTGAGGCCTGGCTCTGCCCCCTCCTGAGAAAGTTCCTGAGAGCTCTGGCACTCCAGCTGCCGGATGGCCTCCTACTGCCCACCTTCCCTATTTTTATAAAGTTCAGGGACGCCCGGGTGGCTCAGGCAGTTAAGTGTCTGACTCTTGGTTTCTTTTTTTTTTTTTTAATTTAATGTTTTTATTTATTTCTGAGAGAGAGAGAGAGAGAGAGAGAGAGAGAGAGAGCATGAGCATGAGCATGGGAGGGACAGAGAGAGAGGGAGACACAGATTCCGAAGCAGCTCCAGGCTCTGAGCTGTCAGCACAGAGCCCGACGCGGGGCTCGAACCCACAAACTGTGAGATCATGACCTGAGCCGAAGTTGGATGCTTAACCGACTGAGCCCCCAAGGCGCCCCCTGACTCTTGGTTTCTGCTCAAGTGTGATCTCATGGCTTATGGGATCGAGTTCCCCATTAGGCTCTGCACTGACAGTGCGAGCCTGCTTGGGATTCTCACTCTCTCCTCTCTCTCTCTCTCTCTCTCTCCCTCCCCCCATCCCTTACACATGCTCTTTCTCTCTCAAAATAAATAAGCATTTAAAATAAATAAGAGGCACCTGGGTGGCTCAGTCAGTTAAGCATCTGACTTTGACTTAGGTCATGATCTCACGGTTTGTGAGTTTGAGCCCCATGTTGGGCCCTGTGCTGACAGTGCAGAGCCTGTTTCAGATCCTCTGTCTTTCTCTGTGCCCCTCCCCTGCTCATGTGCACGTGCTCTCTTTCTCTGTCTCAAAAATGAACATTAATTTTTTAAAATTTTAAATAAATAATAAAAAGCTTAAACAGGGATGCCCAGGAAGTTCAAACAGTTTCAGTCAGGAACTTGATCTTGGGGTCATAGGTTCAAGCCCTACTTTGGGTGTGGAAGTTACTAAAAATAAATAAACTTTAACAAGTTCAAACCGGGGATGTGGAGGAAAGTGTTCTGAGTAAGGCCTGTGATGGAGGCCTGATTACCCCACGGAGCTCGCTTCCTGGGAACTAGTGCTGTTCACTTCCTGTCACAGGGACCTGAAGGTTTCCAACTTGCTCATGACTGACAAAGGCTGTGTGAAGACAGGTGGGTGCAGGGCGCTGGCTTTGCGGGGGGTGTGGCGCCTGGGGTAGCCGAAGGCTAAGGGCTGGTTCCCACGCAGCAGCCCTTCAGCCCCTCTGCCTCTGTCACAGCGGATTTTGGCCTAGCTCGGGCCTATGGCATCCCGGTGAAGCCCATGACCCCCAAGGTGGTGACACTCTGGTGAGTCCATCAGGAGGAGGTGTCCCTGGGGGAGGGAAGTTTGGGGGGTTGATCACGCCGAGGCTGCAGAAGGGTCCTGAGGGTCTTGAGGCCCCAGAGGGCTGCACACACTCCAGGAGGCTGGGTCTGGGACACGTCATGGTGGCGGGACGACAGCACGGTTGCTGGGACCGCCCTGCCAGAAACAGCCAGTCACCCAGCCGGATTTAACAGAAGGGCGGGCGGTTGAGGCAGCTTTCTGTAGTTATTTCTCACGTTTGGGCTGTGGTTACGGTAAGACCTGGACACCGTACACTTTCCGCCCTGTGTCAGCCAGCCCCCGCCTGGCACAGAAGTCGCTGCTGCACGTGGGGGCTGTCCAGCAGCAGCCGCCGTGGCCGTGCTTGCTGTCCACGTTGCCAGGGCTGAGGGCAAGAGGGGGCCTGAGCTGGCAGTGGCTGTCCTGTCGCCCAGGCCGGCTCTCAGGAAGCCCAAGGCTCACTGCAGGAAGCCGGAGGGTGTGCTTCTCTTTGCAGGTACCGTGCCCCCGAACTGCTGCTGGGAACCACCACACAGACCACCAGCATTGACATGTGGTGAGGGGTGAACGCGGCTCCCGGGGCCTGGGGGAGGGGCCGGCAGGAACAGGGCTCGGTGTTTGCCAGCCTCCTTGCTCCCGGGGTGGGGGGGAGGGGCCTGAGAATGTAGCTTCCGCAGAAGAAAGGCCCTGCCCTCATGGTCACCCACAGAGGCCATCTGGGACCGGGTCACATTCCGTTGTGACTTCCCGAGCTCCGGCCTGTCCTGACCCCAGCACGTGGGAGGCGTGTTGGGCAGCACCTGCCCTCAGCAGGCCACTCAGCGCCGCACTCGGTGGAGGTGTGCGGCCGCAGCGAGCCGGTGCCTGAAGTGAGGCCTGCTGTCCTCTGCAGGGCCGTGGGCTGCATCCTGGCCGAGCTGCTGGCTCACAAGCCCCTTCTGCCTGGCACTTCTGAGATCCACCAGGTGGACCTGATTGTACAACTGCTGGGGACACCCAGTGAGAACATCTGGCCGGTGAGCGCCGGGCCGCTGACCTCCTCCCCTCCCCCTCCCCCCGCAGGCCCGCTGCACCTGCGGCGAAGCCCCGTGGCTTCACCTCCCGCTTCCCGCAGGGCTTCTCCAGGCTGCCGCTCGTGGGCCAGTACAGCCTGAGGAAGCAGCCCTACAACAACCTGAAGCACAAGTTCCCGTGGCTGTCGGAGGCCGGCCTGCGCCTGCTCAATTTCCTCTTCATGTATGACCCCAAGAAAAGGTGCCGACCTGGCCCGTGGGCGGGAGCGGGGACGCCTCAAACCCGAGCCCTTTAAAGGGGGATTTTCAGAACACAGGCCACGCTGCCACAGAGAAGCCCCCAGACGCAGGCGCCCACCCAGGCCGTGGAGCCCGTTCTGAGGCCCCATCTGCTTCTCGGCCCCAGTCCCCTACTTGCCACTCACCTTTTGTTGTTGGCACATTTGAACCAGAGGCCGCAGAGCTGGGCAGGTGTGAGGGAGACCAGCCTCAGTGGCACCTGGGGGTCCTATTAACAGCAAGGCCTTGTCTCCAGGGCAACAGCCAGAGACGGCTTGGAAAGCTCCTACTTCAAGGAGAAGCCCCTGCGTGAGTCTCCCAGACCCCCCACCCCCACCAGGCTCCACGGGGGGCTTGTCCTGTGGCCCTTTTTGTCCAGGGTGGGGGTGTTGGGGCACAGCCTTGCAGCGCTGCTGAAGGCCCTGAAGGGGTAGTGTGGTGGGCTCCTGGTGGAGCCCAGATAGAGGGTGGGCCCTGGGTGGGCAGGGGTATCTGCCAAGGCCCACGTGGGCGCTCGTTGGCCACACAAAGTGTTCTCTGATGGGAGCAGAGGGAGACACAACCCCATGGCCCATCACAAATGCAGAGCGGGGTTTCTCAGACCCGAAGCACACCCCTGCCCCATCCCCCCACCCACACAGTGCTGAATGGCCCCCTCCCCACAGCCTGTGAGCCGGAGCTCATGCCCACCTTCCCCCACCACCGCAACAAGCGGGCCGTCCCAGCCGCATGTGAGGCCCCGAGCAAGCGCTGCAAGCCGTGACAGGCGGGAGCCCCTCCCCTCAGCCAGGCCCGCAGGTCTGCGGGGGACAGCGCGGGAACGGGGAGGCCTCCGTGGTCCAGGCTGACGGCGATGCTGGGATCCGGCTCATCCTTTGGCTGAGACTGACCAGCTGCTCCTGCTGACTGCACCTCCTTCCCCCAGAAGAGCAGGGTGTGGAGGAGGGAGCGATGCAGGGTGGGTGCACTGAGAAGGGCCGGACTCTCAGCCTGGGCACCCATTGCCATGCCCGCAGCCGGCCCTCTACAGCTGTGCAGAAGCTCAGGGCCTCACTTCCCAGATGGCTGCTGGGCCTGTCTCAGTGGGTGCTGCTAGCTTGGGATAGGTGGGCAGACCCCGTGTGGTTGCCTGTGGCCCATCCTGGGCCCGGGGGTCTGTCCGAGGGCGGGAAGCCCCCCAGCAGGGCTGGCAGAGCTCAGATGGGAAAGGGGTCAGGTGTGGGTTACATCCCACCTGGCGGACTGGCGTCTGAGCCCTGTCCCTGCCCCCACACTGAGGCCCAGACAGCAAGGGGCACGAGGGGGAGCTAACGGAAGCTTAGATAAAAGTTTTTCTAACAGATGTGAGCAGGTTCAATGTCATTTAATGAACTTTTGGGTTCTGACTCATGACATGAAGGTGGTTCTCCAAGTACTGGGAAGGGGAGGTGCCCAGTGAGGAGGGGCCGGCACAGAGGACAGGCGCCTGTCCCCTCTAGTCCTGTGGGTTACTAGTTCCTGAGACCCTTCCCCCAGGAAGAGGGCTTCTGCTGCCTGTGTCGAGAGTTTGTCTGAGTAGGTGGCTACTCATGAGCCCAGCCCACATCTTTAGCACTGGACCCCGGGTGAGTTCTCAGGGGGGAAGCCTGTGCGGCAGAAGGCCCCAGCAGGGTGGCTTGTGGGGTGCTGATTGCTCAAAAGCCCCACATTCCACCTGGAAGGGAGTGACCGCCTGTCCAGGCTCCACGAGCCGCCTGTCTGCCTACTCTCTGGACTTTGCGGGAGCCTGCGTACTCTGCTAGAAGATCAGATCGTCTCTCCCGCTTGCGGGCCCAGCTTCTCGGGCCAACTGTGACCAGGGCACATGGGCTTGTCTCAGGCCAGCCCTCAGCCCATTCCATCAGCAGGGGCGAGGTCAGCCATGTAGCTGGCAGAGAAGAGCCCTGACTGGTCACAGTGGTGCTCCGTGGCTCAGTGTCACCTGCAGGCCCCCAGGGACACCTCTGTGAGGAGAATCTCTCTGCGACACTCAGAGGGAGGCAACATGCCCTGAACCGTAACTGTAGGGATCGGTCAAGAGCTACAGGCTGGGCGTTGGGCCCCCACAGTGGGTCGGGGGAAGGAGTGAAAGAGAAGGGAGAGGGCCCTTCACGGGCACAGGTGGGGTGGCCGGACACAGACGCAAGCTCGACTCCTCCACCAGCACATTTGGACCTAGGCTTGGACACCGGGTGCAGGAGGTGGGGAGCCGGTGGCCCCAGGCGGGTGCTTTCCACGGGGGGCAGGAGCCCACCTGCTCTGTGAAGCCTGCGTTCCCCACCCCGCTGTGCCCGGGAGTCCCCAAGGGGAAGTGTGGCCGGGACTTAGGCCTGAGGAGTGATGAGGCCCAGAGAAGCACCACAGAAACGGTCTCTGGAAAGCACTTGACCCAGGGCCTGGCTGGGCTTAAGGTCGGGCCCCGGGTCCGTCATAGAGGAGGGCATCCACCTGTGCGCGCTGCAGCCAGAGGCGCTGCTGGGTGTCCCCGAGCAGCACACGAAGTGAGTGACCTGGACGGCAGGTGGGCAGGGTGGCACAGTGCGGGGCGTGCAGCTGGCGGCACGTGTCGCAGCAGAGGGTGGGCAGGGCACCAGGGGCCAGGCAGCCGTGCACTTGGTACCCGGGGGACTGGGGGCTGGCCCGTCCTGACCTCCCTGGGGATTTGGGAGCAGCCAGGTCCCCAGGCCTGCCTAGCAGCTCTCGCCGCATGGAGAGGAAGGAGAAGGGCTCCGGCTCGGGCTCCAGCTCCTCCTTCAAGGCCCCGTACGGCGGGCTGCTGGGCTGCGGCAGCACCTCAGCCTCCCCCAGGGCCTCCCAGGCCCCACCCCTGGCACCCCACAGTTTGGCGCTCTGTTCCCAGAGTGGAGACCGGCAGGCCAGCTCTGGGGCCGGGGAGCCGGGGCCTGGCGAGGGCCCGCCGTACAGGCTGGCCTCCTCGGAGCCCTCCTCTTCCTGCAGGCCCTGGTATAGGTCCAGCTGCGTCTGGTACACAGTCGGGGAGCTGCGGGGGGGCAGAGGTGGCGGCTCCTCTTCCCGGGCCAGCCGCTGCTGCAGCCAGGCCACACAGGAGGCCACGTCCGCGCTGGCTCGCCGCGCCTGCAGCAGCTCCTCGGCTGGCAGCACGCTGGTTCCCAGCTGCGCCAGCACCTCGCCCAGGATCTCACACTCCAGCCGGAGGGCGAAGCAGCCCAGGGCTACTTGCACCAGCTGGTAGGCGGGCGGCAGGGCGGCCATCATCAGGCGGTGGTTGTCCCTGGGCACGTAACCCATCTTCTGGAAGCTCTGGATGAGGAGGTCCTCTGAGAGAGCGCCTTTCAGCACGTGCACGTAGCCCCCAGAGAAGGTCTGCAGAGGAGGGTCCTGGTAAGCAGCAGCCCACTCTCCTGCAGGCCCAGGCCACACTCGGCTCCGTTCTGGCCTCGGCCGGCTTCAGAGCCCAGCAGCCTCCGCCCAGGGCCAGGCGGTTTCGGGCTGTGCTGTTGCATCCGTGAGAGGAGCTTCTGAGCAACACGTGCTCAGGCCCACCTCCGGAGACCCGTTCTGGGGGGGGGGGGGGCAGGCCCAGCTGATAATCGGAGGGAAACAGAGAAATCTCACTTCCCTCGGGGTCCCCACCTCCTGTCACCTCTGAGGCTTTGCTGAGACCTGGTCCTCCACAAGTAGGGGTGCTTTTCTGCCCCTCTGATCAGGCAGCCTCCCCAACACGTCCTGAACTCCACCCTTTCCGCTTGTCTTGGAGCCTTTCCCCATCGAGACTGAGGCTTAGCCACTCATTCTGCCCAACTGTGCATTCCGTGCTGTGGGGCGGCTCTAATGTGCAGCTGGGCCGAAAGCCCGGGAATGCCGGCCAGGAAAGGGCTTCCTAGGTCGCAGTTGTGTGAGGAACTAGAAGGGCTTGAGGATAATGGTCTTGTGTGTCTCCCAGTTCGGAAATTGTATCACCCTAGGATCCTGTCAGCACCCCTCTGCTTACAGCCTATGATAACACCTCCCGCAGACTGAGCCCTACTGTGTGCAAGCATCGTACTTGGGGCTCTGTCTTCACTTCTCATGACAGACCTGGGACGGGACTATCCTCGTGTCCACCTCACAGATGAGGAAATGGGTCCAGGGAGCTTAGGTAACTTGCACAAAGCCACACAGCCAAGAGGAAGTAGGTAGGACCGGACTGCACCGAGGTCTGACCAACACTGAAGCACATGAGCACAGGGGAGGCCTATCCTGCCCTTGGCCCTGAGGCTGCCTCCTGCCCTGTTATCTGAACGGAGGAGTGAAGAGTCCTTGAACCTCTGACCAGCAGGTGTCCCCATGAAGCAATAGGCTCTAGAGCTCACCCTCTGAGAGAGAGGGGGAGTGGGGGGGGGGGGAGAAAAGCTGCCGCTGCCATGGCAACCAGCGGAGGTGGACTCGCCCACGTGCCCAATGACATCAGCACCTTCCTACTCTTCCAAATTAGCTTTGAGGGCCCAAATGCCTACCCCCTCAGCAGGCTGGCAGCTCACCTACAGGGGTCAGGCCAGCCCTGGGCACAGCCTTGGGACCTGAACGGAGTGGTGGGCTAGTTCTGTGGCCAGTCCAGACCCCCAGGGTGCACAGCGTCCCCAGCTCTTGCCGACTCCACAGGGATACGCCCACCCAACACAGTCCTCTGTAAATGGGATCATGGAGGGATTAGAGTGACCATGGAGCCTCAAGTCCCTCTCTCGCGCCTGTCCTAGGATTTGTGCTACAGGAGCCACGGGGCCACTTTGAGGAGGGCAGTGATTCAAGCTTTGAGGAGCAAGGATCCCCCCGGGGTGGGTGGCCTCCACCCACACCATGTTTTCAGCCCTGGGAGTGTCCAGGGGGGCCTTGGCCAAGAGCTGCCCCGAAGCTCCCAGAATTCCCCAGGGCACACTACGCCCTGCGAGACCCTCCAGGCTCGGTGGACACCTGAGGTCCCTTGTCCCGGACGGAGCCCTCTGGCCCGCGGTGCACGGTATCCCGGGGAGGGGCCCCCCGGCCCAGCGCCCTACCTTGATGGTGGAGAACTCCTTCCTCCAGGGCAGCAGGTACAGGTGCACGGCGGCCAGCTCCAGCAGCTCGAAGGCGCGGGCCAAGCCGCGCAGCGCGGGGGCCAGATCGGCGCGGCCCCACAGGCCGTCGGTGAGCAGCGCCAGCGCGTCGTCCTGCAGCGCCCCGTGCAGGTCGAAGTCTTCCACCAGGATCTGCCAGAGCACCGCGCGCAGAGACGGGTCCCCGCACACGCCCGCGCGGCCGCGCCGCAGCTCGCGCTCCAGGCACAGGCGGTAGTCCTCGGACAGCGAGCTGCTGCCCATTCCGGCGGGCGAGGGCCGGGAGTCGGGGGTCAGGGGCCGCTCCCCGCCGGCTGGGCGCCCCCCAGGGCCCCCCCCCAGCATCCACATGCCCACCCCGCAGCCCGGCGGCCCCGCCAGCTGAGCGGACCCCAGGATACGGCACCCCGCCAGCGGCGCCCCCGCTCGCGAGCAGGGCCCCGGCCTCGCCCGCCGACGGCGCTGCGGTCCCCGCCCCTCGGCGCCGAGCGCTCCCGCAGCGGGGCCCTTCCGCCGCCAGCGGCTCCGCCCACCCGGCCGTGACGCTCGGGGGCGGGGCTTGCTCCGGGCCCGCCTCCTCCGGCGGGGGCGGGGCCGGGGGCGGGGCCTCGTGCCGCCGGCCTGAGCACCTGCGCGGTGCACCTACCTGTGCGGCCCGCTGCCGCCGTCTCCCATCCGTGCGCGGCGCCGGAGCCGTTCGCGGCCGGCCCTGGGCCGGGGCTCGGGCGGCCTCAAGGCGGGCACACGAGGAAAGGTGCGCCCAGCGGCCGCCCCTCCGAGCCGGGCCCTTGGAGCTCCGGCCGGGGGAGGGCGCGGGTGCTGCTCCAGCGTCCCAGCTCCGGCCCAGCGCTGCACGAGGTGAGCTTCGCCGCGGTCGGAGCAGCAGCCTTGGGTGGGCGGGGCGGCCTCCCCTATCACCTGGGGGTCCCCGAGGCGGGGTGAAGGCCGCGTCCTGACTCGGCCAGCGCCGTTTCCAGGCGTCTGGGCCGTGGCCGGCGGAGCTGAGCAGGGCGGCCGCTCCCTGGGGACGTTTGTTCTTGCTCTGCTTTGGGCTCTGCTCAGTGCTAAGGCCACTTGGGTGGAGGAGGGATGGGAGACAGTTAGTCCTCGGGAGTCCCGACTCAATGCAAGGAAGGTCTTCTGTAGAACCTGACCACCCCCGGCCCCCGCCGGCCCCGGCAGGCTCTGCTCCTTGGCCTCTGGGCCCCTCACCTCTCCAGGGCACTGTTGGCCTTGCCTGAGGAAAAATGTCTCTTTAAGAGGTTTCACTCTACAGTGCCCTGCAATATCGTCTTTGGAGCCTCAAGTGGGACTTTTAGAAGAAATACAGTAACAAAGCAGAAGAACTACGGTAACAATCTCCTTGAGGCATTTTGCCCACCACCACTCAGCATGGCGGTATTTCACTGTATGCTGAGCCCCGCCGTCGGGGCACGCCACACCTGAGGGACAGGTAGCTTCTGGTCATATTCTGCTTGTATGCAGAAGGTTGAGCTTAACCACCCTCTTCAGTTCATTGCTGAAGTCACCACGGTCTTCAGATGCGAGGCCCCTCAGGTTGCGTTTACCCAGGGCCATAGCCCCCACCCCTAAAAGAAGACCGTTAAGTGTGGTGAAGAGGCGTCCCCGGTGCACATCTTGCACAGCGTGCGGGACTGTCTCTTCACCTCTAAGTGCAGGGTGTTCTGCTCTCACTCAGCTTCCTCGAGTCTGGCCTCCGTCTCCGTCGCTGTGTGGGGCTCCAGGCCCTTGCTCCGTGCTGCGTGGCTCTTCTCGGTGTCACTTGAATCAGGGCAGAGCTTTGCACCTGCTTCCACACAAGGATGGGAAAGACATTGATTGGTTTTTCAGATTGAATCATTAAAATACCTCGTCGTGGTGTTTGCTCTTGGAATCCAGCCATCGTGTTGTGAGGTAGCTGGCAGCCACTTGAGGAGACCTCTCATGGGACTGAGATTCGTGCCCACCTATAACCTGGGCACGTGAGCATATTTGGAAACAGGGTCTTTGCAGATGTATCAAGTTAGGACAAAGTCATGTTGGATCAGGACGGACCCTAGATCCAATATGGCCGCTACTGCTATGAGGAGAGAGAAGGTTAGCACAGATCCATAGGGAGAAGGCCTGTGGTGACAGAGGCAGAGACAGGGCTCCGCCTACAGCTACAAGCCGAGGACTGTAGGAGCCGACAGAAGCTGCATGAGGCAAGGAAGGACTCTGCTCTAGCACTTCGAGGGAACATGGCCCCATCGACATCTTGCATGTAGACTGCTGGCTTGGAGAACTTTGATAGATTTCTGTTGTTCTAAGCAACTCAGTTTGTGGGATTTTGTTATGGCAGCCACAGGAAACTGAATACAGGCCCCACACGGTTCTGTCTGAGAACATAGTGGAGACAGAACGTAGTTGTTCTGTCTGACCCCTGACCGAGGTCCTAGCTGACAAGCATCCACTGCAGATGTGTGGACAAAGCTCAAATGACTCTAGCCCCCAACAATAGGTCACCCAACCTGGAAGCTGGCTTAGCTGGTGCTGGGGGGTCCAGAGACAGGCTGTCCCCACTGAACTCTACCAGATGGAAGATTCGTAAGCAAAGTGACTGTTGTGTAGAAGCCAGTGCGTTGGGATGGTTTGTCACACAGCAATAGATAGCTGGGACCATGCACATTTACCACATCTTCCCCTCCCCCCTCCTGGGGATGGATGCTACACTGTCTCAACTCCATCTGTATACATGTCTTCCTGTGACCTTGGCTACATCCAGGAGCAGGGCCGCGAGGTCAGGGGGTCAGCTGGCATTTGCTGTGGCTCAGGACTGCTGCTGCCTCTTGACTCTGCTGCCCAGTACAGCCCTCGCCGTGTGGCGGTTTCCAGCACCTGCACGCCACCATGCTCAGCTTTCGGGTTTCCACCGCCCAGTGCACATGACCTCTATCTTGTCACTGTGTTACTTTGGACTTCTTGATTTGTTATGGCTTAAACATTTTTTTTAAATGTTTTATTTATTTATTTCTAGGAGAGAGAGAGAGAGAGAGAGACAGCGTGAGCAGGGGAGGGTCAGAGAGAGAGGGAGTCACAGACTCTGAAACAGGCTCCAGGCTCTGAGCTGGCAGTCCACACAGAGCCCGACGCGGGGCTCGAACCCACGAACCGCAAGATCATGACCCAAGCGAAAGTCGGACGCTTAACCGACTAAGCCACCCAGGCGCCCCTGGTATGTGCTGTTTTTTGATAGCAGCCATCCTAATGGGTGTGAGGTGGTCAGACCACAACTGTTAACCCCAATCCCATGGAGTGTTCTGTTCTGAGGGGCAAACTGCACCCCAGTCTCTTCATTATCGAGGCCTGGACTTCCTCTTCNCTCCAGGCTCCGAGCTGGCAGTCAGCACAGAGCCCGACGCGGGGCTCGAACCCACGAACCGCGAGATCATGACCTAAGCGAAAGTCGGACGCTTAACCGACTAAGCCACCCAGGCGCCCCGGCTTAAACATTGTTTATGGTAATTGGCTTTTTAAAAATGTTTTATTTATTTCTGAGAGAGAGAGAGACAGAAACAGCGTGAGCAGGGAAGGGTCAGAGAGAGAGAGACACACACACAGAATCTGAAGCAGCTCCAGGCTCCAAGCTGTCAGCACAGCGCGATGCGGGGCTCGAACCCACGAACTCTGAGATCATGACCTGAGCCGAAGTGGAACGCTCAACCGACTGAGCCACCCCGGCGGCCCAAGCTTTTTTTTTTTAATTAGTGTTCTTATTTATTTTTGAAACAGAGACACACCGAGCATGAGAGGGGAGGGGCAGAAAGAGAGGGAGACACAGAATCGGAAGCAGGTTCCAGGCTCTGAGCTGTCAGCACAGAGTCCAATGTGGGGCTTGAACTCACAGACCGTGAGATCATGACCTGAGCTGAAGTCGGACGCCCAGCCAACTGAGCCACCCAGGCGCCCCATGCTAATTAGCTTTTTAAAACTCCCTCCTCCAGGCGCCTGGGTCGCTCAGTAGTTAAAGCATCCAACTTTGGCTCAGGTCATGATCTCACAGTTCGTGAGTTCGAGCCCCGCGTCGGGTGAGCTCGTGCCCTGCTTTTCTCTCTCTTTCTCCGCCTTGTGGGACTCTCTCTCCCTCTCACCCTCTTTCTCTCACATCAACCAAACAATCAGTCAGTCTCCCTCCTCTGTAGACAGCCTGTTCCTAGTCTTCGCTATTTTTCTTCGTGGCCTTTTTCATGTTGATTTGTAGGATTTCCAGTGGGAAGACTGGATTATTCATCGATGGGCTCAGAGTTTCTCATGGAAAAGCAGCCTAAGCACAAGCCTATCTGACTGCAGTGCCTGGAATGGTGCCAAAAAGACTGCCCTCACCGGGCCCGTCCCCAGAACGTGGTCCCTAGTGTAAAGTCAACAGGCACTTCCACTGTCCGGTTTAGCTCAAGACGCACCTTCACCCTCCATCTGCTCTATGAAGGGGCCTTTAAAACCCCATCCTTGCGACGTCAATGCCGAGGCCTGGAGCAGGGTTATACCTCCCCCCCCCCACCCCCCCCACCCCAGCTCCATGCTTGGCTGGGTTCCCATCCAGGCCTGGAGTTCTTAGACGTCTGCACTCGCAGGAACATAAGCAGAATGCCAGGGGGACTGGGTGGGTGCTGGCCTGTCTGTTCTTGGGGCACTGGTGGGCAGGGGACCCCAGGCTACAAAAGCTCCTGACACAAGACAGCCGTCCCAGGGACTTGAGAGGCCTGCCCCAGCCCGCTGCTGGGCCCTGCACCTGACCTTGGGGTCTTGACTGCAGGTGCCTTAGGCCTCTAGAGTGGGCCTGCTGAGCTCACACCCATCTCTGCCATCATAAGACGTAGCCTGGAGAAGGCCCTTCACCTCCCCATGCCTCAGGTTCTCGTGGGATTCTTGCGAGCATAAGCCTGCAGAGCACTTAGAATATTGCTGGCCACAGAGTACCCCACAAACACCAACTGAGCTCTTTCAGAAGAGCCTTTCACCAGGGAACCTGAACACTACCCCCATGACTAGCCTCTGGGCTGGTTGGGCCCAAGCCACCCGTCTCAGTGGCAACTCAGGTTGCCAGGGGTCCCCCCTTCCCTGGCAGGTGCTGCCTGAAGCTGGGGCTGGGCTGCCTGCTTTCTCTTCAGAGGTGACGCACATTACGACTCAGAGCACCCATGCGTCTTTCCCATCTGGAGAATGCAGATGTTTTCCTGAGGGTCCTTCGGGCCAGAGGCCCTGCCCAGCCCACTAGGCTCTACAGAGCATGTCCCGTCCTAGAGGGTGCAGCCCTAGGGAGATCCCTCTCCTGCCCCCCAGAGGTCAGGGGTGGTCGACCTCAGTGGGCTCTGGGACTGTCTGGCTCTTGCTGGTCAGCAGGGGAGGTGGTCACCCTGTTTGGGTCTCCACACAGCCAGTGGGGTGGGGAGCAAGCAAGCTGTGCAGAGAGAGCGATCAGTGACCTCTTTATTTCTGGCCGTGTCAGTGGCTGCCGGGGCACTTCACAGTCAGAGTGGACGCTGTGCTGCACGCAGGCGCTAACCCTCCGGTTCACGCTGACCCAGAAAGGGACACGCCGGGGTGGGAATCAGCCAAAGGCCCCAGGGTGTCCAAAGCCTACTGCCAAGGGTGGGCACGGCTCAGAGGCCCCGGATGTGGGCGGGTGCCCTGGGGATGCCTGGGCTCCAGAGGAGGGTGGCGTGGTCAGCCCAATAAGTAAACAGCATAGTGTCAAACCACCTGGACTCCAGGCCTCAGAGGCAGGGGACGGGGACGCTCCCTTCTTCTAACAAGAAACGGGCCCTGGAAGCTGTCGCCAGGGACGGGAAGGGAGAGAAAGCAGACCTGCCATCTGCCAGGCCTGCGGCCCCCTCCCTACCCTGGAGCTGCGGGGTCTGTGAGGGTGTACAGGGCCCAGGGGAGTCCACAGCTCTGGTCTCCCTGCACAAAGCCTCTCGGAGGCTGAGGAAAGAGAAGGGCCTCGTTCCTAGGCGCCGATTCAGCTCAGCTCTATCCTCTGAAGAGCGGAAGGGCCTCCCTCCTCAAGCTCCTGGGGGGCAGACGTCAGGGCGGGACGCGAGCGCGAGCCGCACCGCAGCGGCCTGCTGCCCCCGGCGGAGCAGGAGGCTCCGGGGCGTCCGCAGCGGCCTCCGTCCTCCTCTACTTGCCCAGGGCCCCCCGGGGAAGCAGCTCCACGTAGCTCAGGGCGCTCTGTAGTGACGTCAGGCAGTAGCCCTCCTCTCCAATCAGGTACCTGTGTAGAGGTAGGCACGGGCGGCGCCTGTCACCTGCCGGGGATGCACAGAGGTGCCCTGCACTGTGGAAGGGGCGTCTGCCCTCCGGGGGCAGGGCCTGGACACTCCGGTCACACAGGGGTCTGTCAGGGAGGCTGGGCTTGCGGACAGATGTGCTCAAAAGATGGCCCCCCAGGTCCTGTCTACGCAGTGTGCTGAGCAACGGGCGGTGGGAAGGAGCTGGAGAGGGGACCACGGGCCAGGTGTAGACGTGGCCCCGCAAGCTGGGAGCACGTGCCCCCCGCCGGCCCGACTCCAGCTGCGGGCTCCTACCCCTCGTGGATGAACTCCTCCAGGGCCGCGCATTCTGACACCAGCTGGGGGAGGCCGCTTCTCAGCACCACAAAGGACAAGATGGGCAGCAGGTCGTCCGCACCGCTGTTGGGTAGAGGCACGGCTGGCCGGGAGGCTCCGGGGGCCAGTGTGGCTGCTCAATCCCCATAACCCTGCAGCCCCCAGCTCGGCCTCCGGGGTAGTCCTGGGCTTGCCGGGTGCTCTCCCTGCGCCCCTCCTGCCCGCCTGCATGGGGGAGTTGGGAGTAGACTCAGGTCAGCGGCACTGGCAGCCACTACGGGCAGCAAGACTGTCCCTGAATGGGGACCCTGTGCTGCAGAGCCCGTGGCTGGATCAGCGGAGGTCCCCACGAGGGAAGTGTCCCGGGCTTGCCCCGCCAGCCTGCCCACGCCTGGGGCACAGGACAGTGGAGAGCATGGCGCCTGTCCCGGGCGGCCTGCTTCCGAAGCCTGGGATCGGAGCCAGGCCCCTGTGACCCTCCCGAGAGCCATCTCAGGGAGCGGAAATGGTGCCAAGGGAGGCCCCGCGGGACACACAACACCCTGGCCCGCAGGCTGGGGTCTCTGGGAGGGGCAGACTGTGGCTCAAGTGTGACCACCAACCAGGAAGGCCTCACACAGCGGGAGCTCCGGCTTGCGGCCCCGCCCCCAGGGCCCGGGGCGCCACACACCTGCGGGACGCAGACAAACCACAGCACGGGCCTCTCTGGCTCCCCAGACGCACAGAGGAGAGAGGTGACGCGGGGCTGAGGCCCGGGCTCAGAAACACTTTCAGTCCTACAACTGTTTCCCCCACAGCTACCTACACAGTAGCCGTGTGGGTAACTGGTGAACGGGCTCCCCCACCCCGACCCTGTAGCTGACGGCCTGTCTCCTGGCGCTGGGGTTGGTGAGGGTGGGCGTCAGTCTCCCTCTCCTCCGGTGCAGCTCCTCCCTGCCGATCTCACGCTCAGCTGACTTCTACCTGCCTCCAGGCCCCGGGGGTAGGTAGGTGCTACAGCGAACCCACCAGGTTCAAATGACAGGGGTCTTCAGTAGGACACTGGTCCCTGGGGCAGGGTGGGTGGCCCCTCCCTTCCCCCAGGCCTCTGCAGGCAGCCCCTCACTTGCTCACCCCAGGCCGTGGGCTTTTGGGACTCACATGGCTGCGGCGCCAAGCTGGGGTCTGGCCTCAGACGCGGCCTCCTGGGCCCGGTAGTAGTCCTCGGCACACGCACAGATGACCCGCAGGACCCGCACTGTGGCGCAAAAGTGAGGCTTCAGGAGGGGGCTGAGGGGAGCCTGTCCCAGAACGAGCCCCACCCGTCACCCGTGGCGCCAAGCAGGGCTGGGACGCTCCCTCCCGAAGACCTTGCTCCCACTCGGCTTCCGTCCTGTGAGACACACCCGCCTTTGACCGGAAGAAGTGTGCACCTCAGAGGCGGAGACCCCAGGTCACCCTCTGGGAAGGGACCTCATCCCACCAGTTCTCCCTCCGTCCTCCCAAACCGCAGCCCCTCACCGATGCACTCCAGCTTCTTCTGCGGGCAGCTCTCGAGGACCAGCAGCCCCAGCTCCTGGGCGGCAGCACAGTAGGGGTAGGCGCCGGCTGCCGAGGCCCCCGGCTCCCGGGGCAGGAGCTTCGCGGGGACGCCGATGGCTGTGGGGGGCGCGTTCCTGTAGAGCTCCATGCTGCGGCCCAGGGCGGCCTCCCGGAGGCGGTGCACGCTCCTGGGGCAGAGAGAGGCTGGGCTCAGCCGCCCAGGGGACCTGCCGCCCAGGGGACTCTGCCCCAGCGCAGAAAGCAGGGCCAGAGAAAGCTCGGCCTGCCCCGAGGCACGGAGTTCTCGCAAAGCAGAAACGTCTGAGGACGGCCTTCGGCCTTCGAGTAAAGCGGCGGCCGGAAGCATGGTCAACAGTGTGCCTCGGGGACCAGCGCGTGGGGAAGGCCCCCGCGGGCTGAAGCTGGGGTCCTACCTATAGAGCGCCAGCAGCAAGGGCCACAGTGGGGAGAAGAAGGGCTCCTCGATGCAGGCCAGGCATCGGTCCTTGGAGGCGGCCACATTCAGGCCTTCGAAAGCCAGGAGAGTCAGCGAGAGCAGCCTGTCTGCCGGGAGCAGAGCCGGCACGATGGCGCTGTGGGGACAGCCAGGCCCTCCGGCCCCAGGCTGGCAGCCCCCGGAGGTCATCCCCAGACAGCGCCTGTCCCCCCCCCCCGGCCCCCCTCCTAGAGCCAGCGTCCGTGTGGGCAGAGCCACAGTGCTCTGGCTGAACCTCCCCCACTCCCCGCAGGCTCCTCACTCCCGTGTCGGTGGGGCCTGGGCTCAGAGCACTCAGGAGCCAGAAGCATGGCCAGCTCCCCTAAGGAACCAAGAAGACAGGCTGAGAAAAGCGAAGGGCAGCCTCCTTCTGAAGGGTCTGCGCCCCAAACTGCAGGAACCTCAGGAACTTGAGAAGCACATTTAAAGGCAAGACCTGAGGCCCAGGGAGGTGGGAGCCCCGTCCAGCGTCCCTCACAGAGCTTGGGCCCTACTGGGCCCCCCTCACCGATTCTTAGGAAACCCTGAAAGCCTTCCTCCTTGGAAGTCACCAGCCACCCCAGACCCCAACCCTCAGGGAATCCACACACTATGCTCAAAAATGGAAAAGGCCGAAGAGACAAGCCCGTTGTCAGCAGCAGGCTGCACACACCCAATGGTCCTCGGTTTGGAATGCCCGGAGTCGAGCCCTATGGGCCAGTCAGGACCACCCGGCAGCCAGAGGCTCTGACAGCAGACCCTTCCCCAAACAGAGGGCTGGAATGAGGCAGGCTGCCTTCTCCATGCAGCCCAGCGAGGAAACGACCCAGGACGGGGAGCCCTCGGGCCCGCCGTGCGCCCAGCTGCTCTCCGAGCAGGGTGCATTCCCGGCTGCCCGGGGAAGGGCAGAGAGGGCTCTGCAGACCAGGCCTGGCTGGCCACCATCCAGAGGAAGGCCGGTCCTCCCCGGGGCCTGTCCTCGGCCTGTGAAAAGCTCTGTGCCGGGTCCAGGCTCCAGAGCCCGAGCAGCTCCCTCCCCCCACACCCGAGCTGCGGGCACGCTGGCCCTCACCGATGGCATTGTGTATGTCCTTCACAGTGCTCTTCAGCTGCTGCGACAGCGGCTCCGTCTTCACGCCTGAGGTCTGGAGCTCAGGCGGCCTCCCGCGCCCCCGGCCCCACCCCTCAGAAGTGGCCAGGAAGTGTTCGAGGTCTTCGAAGGAGCTGTGTTTGCCCTGTGCGCCCGTCAAGGTGTGTGCCGGGGGTGAAGGGGGCCCGCCCAGGCTGCCGTCTGGCCCTCCCTCTGCGGGACAGGGGTGCAGCGGGGGGCTGGGGGGGCTGGCGTGGGTGCCGTCTGCAGGCCGAGGGGCTGGGCTGGGCTCCGCCGGGGAGAGCACACAGTAGAGACTCTGCGAGGGCCGGAGCCGCCGGCTCCCAGGAGCCCGCAGCCCGTCGGCGTCCGGGGACAGGGAGCAGCAGCCGGGGGCGGAAGCGGTGCCCACGGCGCCCCTGCTCACGACGGGGTAGAGCGCCCGGTACACCGCGCACTGGAGCTTCTTCAGGAGCTGCGAGATGGGGTGGTCGGGAACGCTGCGCACGGAAGAGGGGGCGTGGGGCTGCGGGACCGAGGCCGGCCTTCACCTGACGTCCACCCGCCTACAACACGGCCCCGCGGGACGCGTTCCGGAGAGCAAGCCTCCAATTGCTTCCTTGAGAGTGAACGTGGCACGTCAAGTCTGACCCGCCCCCTGAGAAGGCCGCTCAGAGACCCTGAGGGCAGCTGGATGGGACACCTGCAGCCCCAGCGCCTCCGAGGGAGCCTGAGTGCGGTGCGTACAGCCACCCCTGGCCTCCCCTTCGTCCCTTCCTTTCTGATCCTTTCGGCTGCTGTCAGGGCCAAGTAGGGGGTAGGGGGGAGAGGCCCTCGTACCTGAGCAGGTGGGAGACCAGGCTGGTCACTAGCGACAGGTCCCCCGGGCTCTTCTTGAGCTGGGCTCTCCAGTGCTTTGGCCAGTCCTGTAGGGCAGCAGTGTCTGAAGAGCATGGCGGGGTCCCCACATCCGTCGCTGCCAGGGCTGCTCCCCAGGCCAACACCGCACTGTCCATGTCCTCTCTGGGGCACAGGGACGACCCAACGCCAACAGGCCTCGGGACCGCCCCCCCCACCGCCCCCAGAATAGCAACCTGTGACGCCACCCCCGCGCCCAGCTGCCCGGACTCACGTGGTCTTGCTCGTACTCGAGGATGGCAGCATAGAGGGCCCGCTGCTCCCGCTCCTCCGGAGTCAGGGCGACCTGACTACAGAACCTCCTGGGGAGAAAGACGAGGCTGGGGGCCTCGGGGCTGGGCAGGCAGGTCACGGGGTCCCCACCAGTCCTCTCGGCTGCCCCGGGACCTACTGGAGGAGACGCACCTGTCGGCCGCTTCCTGGAGCCGCAGCCGGCGCTCCTCCATCTTCCTCTGCAGCTGGGTCAGCAGGGTCAAGGCTGTGTCTGTCCTGAGGACCCGGCCGCCAGGAGGTATGGTCAGGCGGGGCGGGGCCGGGCAGAGGAGGCAGCAGGGCCTCGCGACTGGCGCTCGCTCAGGGAAGGAAGCAAGCCCTCGCCGACCAGAAGGGTGGGGAGGAGCCCATGGGTGCTGAGAGGGACAGAGGGCCTGTGTAAAGGCCGGGAGGGCAGAAGCCACCCCTCAAGGGTAGGCCTCTCTGAAGCTGTCCCACACTCCGCCCCCGGCACCTTTACTTCCCACCTCACCCCCTTCTCCCTCAGCTCAGGACACCAGGGATGGCGGAAAGGATACGGTCTCCTCCCGGGCTTTGGCGATCACAAGGTTCTCCATCACCTGCCGCTGCAGGGACAGGGTCTAGGAAGGAAAGGAGAAAATAAGGCCTATTCCTCTTCCGCCACCAACCCAGACCCTCCCTGGGAGCCGCTCACCAGAGATGTCTTCTGCATGGCCTGGCTGGGGTCCAGACGGGCCATCCGGGCCTCATAGGCGGCCCTCAGCTTCTGATTCTGCAGGGAGGCTTCCTCCAGAGGTGTCAGCTCCCTGCAAATGGAGACAAGCTGCTGTCCGGGTCCCCAGAAGCCCTAGAATGTTCTGTGACCTGAGGGCCCTCCCTGACTGTGCTCTGAGACCGTAAGGTGAGGAGGCGGTGATGGGGGCAGGCAGGAAATGGAAAGGAGGGAGCAGGTCTGGAGTGGGCCGGAGACCCCGGTCCCCGAAACCTGGGCCTGCAGCCACCGGGCCTCCTGAGGCCTGCACACTGTGCTTGTCGCAAATCAGTTCCACGCGTTTGGCGATAACACGGACCTTTTTACAGACATCATGTGAACCAAACAGCCAACCTCTTTCCGCCGCCCGTGAAAGAGACCCAGGCCTACTCATCAGAAATAGCTGTCGAGAGCCACCCCCCACGCTCCCACCCAAACCGCTGGTGTCACATGTCCTCACGCTTCCACGGTAGGAGAGGGTTAGCTGTGAGGACGCCGACTCGGGAGAGAAAGTGTGTCTTGGGACGAAGTCCTCTGCTCGGCCCTGCCCCACGACTGCACATGCAGAAATGATGGGCCTGGAGGCTTCTGAGTCCAGCGGCCCTCACGGCCTGGCCGCAGCACGGCCAGGAGGACCCCGGCTTGTTTTTCCTCCTGGGGGTTCTTCTGTCGCGTCTCAGCGAATTTTATCAGTTCCAGAAGCTTACATACTATTCTCTCTTCAAATAATGCCTCTCTTCCGCTTGCTTTCTTCTCTTTATCTGGAACTCCAGTAATCTCGTGTGAGATCTTCTCTCTCTCTCAGATTTTGTCTTTTCTTTCCTCCCCCTATGAGCGTCATTCTGGGTATCTTTTGATTTTTCAACCAATTCGCTCATTCTTTCTTCAACTACGTCTGCTCTGTTGGTATAAACCTGACCACGTGTGTCTGTGTGCGCGTGTGTATTTTCCCTGGAGAAAATAATTTATTGTTATTCTTTCCAATTAGTTTTTAAAAATAATTCTGGCATTATATTTTTTGTTTTCCTTCTGTGTGGTTCTTTATTTGTTGAGTTATACTTCATGGCTTTTTGTTCCTTGCAGCTATTTTCAACCTTGCTTTTTACTTTCGTGAATAAGGACAGCACGGTTGTTTTGTGGTGTGTGCCTAAGTCCCTCTGAGTACTCTGCAGGTCTCTTTCAGCCATTACTCTGTAAGTTTCTGGTTTCTTTCTGTGCTTGGTTATTTCTCAATGAGTGTCATTTGTGCACGTCGAAGATGCTTTTGTCCGAAGGGGATTTGCATCTGCTTTTGTCAAGCCCAAGGGTATTTCAGTTCTGGGACCCATTTTAACTAAATTCACTGTGGTTAGCTCACTTTGCCGGGACTTCAAACCCAGGCTCAGCCCACCTTCCATTTTGCCCCAGCTTACTTCTTAGAACTTTGTGACTCTACCACCTGAAGCTTCTGGAAGATTTCGGGTGGCAGAAACGGAGAGAGTTTCCCCCCTTCATCTGAGTACACCCGGCGATGTCGGCTGGTACTTGAGGGGACAGGAGCAGCCGCAGGCATGGCTGGCTTCAGGCATGTTTTCCCTGTAAGACAGACATAAGCAAGGGTCAGCCTGGAGCCCAGCGTTCCACGGAGATGCAGACGTGGGGGGTGGGGGGTGGGGCGATGCCCCAGGAGCCGGAGACCCACCAAGCTTGGCAGCTGTTGACTGGGCCCTCTCCAGACACTGCTCAGCCAGCTTCAGCATCTTTGAGGTGTCCAGGGCCACAGGTTCCCCACTTTCTGGGGATCAAGAGACAAAAAAGCTGGTCACTGTCACCTTTATTATTAAATAGGTTTTTGCTGAGACAAAAACAAGGACAAGTTCGTCCCTTCCTCATCTCCCCCTCCCGGGTCGCCAACCCCCGCCCCGTCCTCATCTCTGGCTTCTAGGTGATCCTACCTCCTCCTCGTTTCTGATCATCTGCCCTGGGTTTACCTCCTTTTTTTTTTCTTTTTTTTTTAAATTTTTAAATGTTTTATTTATTTCTGAGAGAGAGTGTGAGCAGGGGAGGGTCAGAGAGAGAGGGAGACACAGAATCTGAAACAGGCTCCAGGCTCTGAGCTGTCAGCACAGAGCCCGAAGAGGGGCTAAAACCCACGAACTGAGAGATCATGACCTGAGCCGAAGTCGGACGCTCAACCGACTGAGCCCCCCGGGCGGCCCGAGCTTTTTTTTTAATTAGTGTTCTTATTTATTTTTGAAACAGAGACACACCGAGCATGAGGGGAAGGGGCAGAAAGAGAGAGGGAGACACAGAATCTGAAACAGGCTCCAGGCTCTGAGCTGTCAGCATGGAGCCCAATGTGGGGCTCAAACTCACAGACTGTGAGATCATGACCTGAGCCGAAGTGGGACGCTTAACCGACTGAGCCCCCAGGCGCCCCATCCCTGGGTTTACCTCCTGACACTGTGTGAGCTCTGAGCTCGGCCGGCCCAGCATCTGAGTGTCCTGTCATCTCAACTGGACCGCCGGAGCTCTCTCCCTTCCTACGGGCCTTTTCTCACCAAGGCCTTTACCTGTACTTACAGCCCTTCCTCAAGGTGGGCCGTGTAGTGGCCGTGGGCCATTTCAGAGAGACAACTTTATTGCCTGCCTCCTGGCCTCTGGCTGCGCTTGACCTCATCCCTGGGTCCTGCGTCCCCTCTTCTGGGGATCACTCGTGTTAGCAGCTGCTGTAGGAACTGCCACTCAGAACTCTTCCCTGGACGCCCCCAGCCTTAGTTTCTGGGCCACTTACTGCTCCTTTGAGAGACTGCCCCTCAGCACACTCTAGTTTTGCCACCTGATTCCCACCGAGACTGCCCCCACTCATGCCCTCAGGTCAAACCCTTCTCTGAGGACTCTTCGACCTCTCAGGGTCTTGCTCTTCCGGAACATCCCCCTGGGTGTACTACCGTGTCTGCCCCCCAGTCTTCAATCTTGGGGACGCCCGGAGCTCTGCTAAGCTCACTGGCTCTCTTGGGCAGCTCTGACTCTGCCGACCCCTACCTCTTCCTAACCATCGTGCTCCTGCATCAGTCAGGGTGCTCAGCGCCTCAAACAGAACGCACTCGCGATGGAGACCTCGATTCTGTGCACACGACCCTGCTGCTGCCCACCCCCATGCCAACCCTGTACCCATGGTGGCCCTCCAGCAGCTCACTGTTCCCTCCGGGGCTGTCTCCACCCCCTGCCCCACCAACCAGGGGCTCACCCAGCACATCTGTGAGGTCCACCTTTAAAGAACATCCCCAAGGCCTTCACTCCTTCCGTCTCCGTGGTGTCACCGCTGCTGTCCTCACTGTGGGGGCTCCCAGAGGCTTTGCCGCCATGCTGGCCCCTCTCCCACAAAACCTCTTACACCACAACAATGCAGCTCCACGCGAGGCCATGCCTGTGCCGGCTGTACCTACTCTTCCCTGTACTCGGCACCACTCTCACCTCAGCACCTTTGCACACCCCTCTGCTGGGGGTGTCGCCCCCGGGCCCTGACCTTTATGCAGCTCACTCCTTCCCAGGCTGGGGTTGTGTCCAATCTCCATTTCCATCCTCTGACAACACACATCCCTGCCTGCTCCCGCATCGCGCTGTGACAGCTCACGCTTGCTGAGTGCTCACCCGGTCACCTCCTACTAATGACCAATGGGGACGACACAGGACGACCCCAGGCCCCAGACCCACCGAGGGCTAAGCGGTCCATAATTTGTTCAGCATGGGAGGAGCAGTGAGGCTGAGATCTTTACCTCTGGTGGTTTCTACTTCTTCCAGCAGCACCTGGGAGATATAGTGGATGCTCCTCAGGTATTCCGTATATGCCTCCTGTGAGCAGGGAAGAGAGATGGCAGGGGTCAGGCCAGCAGTGGCCAACAATCCATCATGCCTGTCTCCTGCCCTTGTGGGAAACAGAGAAACTGTGTTGCTTACCTCTTGAGATTTGCCTGAGGCATCTAACCTGAGGCAGTTAGCTAGTAATTCCTCGGGTCTAGTCAGTAATACTGTGTTTGGACTGACAATATTCCTCTCCTCTAAGACTCAAAGGGAAAAAAAGGCCCAGCTGGGCACCCAACCCTCCTCTAGTTGCCTTTCTCTCCAGCACAGGAAGAAAAGACATTCTCCTTCAGTGGGCCAGCTGAAGCAGTGGACAGCAGTTGCTGTCATTTTTTACTCTGTGTAACAAGTTTCCTTCCTGTGCAACTCAGGGCCTATTTATTCAGTGGCTTTAAAAAAAAAAAAATCCAGGAGGTAAATGAGGGAGTGATTGTTGCTAACCTTAAAAAAATCACTTTCTGGCTTAGGTTCTTGGAAACCCCCTTCCTGAAGTCCAGAACAGGTACTCCTTGGGCACAGCAATCTACAACACTAGAATAGTGCCAGGTTCAAGGGTGTGACCGTGTTCGGTACACAAGGCATTTGGAACCACCACATGGTGTTTTGTTGCATCCCAGTTCTCAAATGAACCGTCTTTAAATCTACACCTCTGGATAAAATGGATTCCAGATAGGATTTCTGACTCGAGGGGACACCTGCTGTCCTAGAAGACTGGCTTGGGGGAGGCAGCAGATTGAGGGGCCAGGATGCTTTCCCTGGGCGTTGGCAGCTTCCCGCCTCCTCGGGCAGGCCGGGTGGCTCGGCCTGCTTTTCCACCTGGCTGCCACCTTTCGGACTAACACCCATTCTCAGTAACAAGCCATACTACCCTGCACGCATTTCCTTCCAAACACACTCTGAAGGCCTCTGGAAAGAGGCATCACGAATGAGCCTTTTCAGGATTCCGTCCCTTTGGGGAATCTGATTAAATCTACAGTGTCTTCCCAGAAAAATACACGTTACACATGGAATTTCTTGCCAAATATATTTTGGAGGGCTGCTTCAAAGACCCTCCTGAAAACCCTTTACAGACAAAACCCTGGTTCTAATTCCTACTCTCCGACGTCGGGAAAACCCCTCAGGAGAGGGCTGGGAGCTGTCCAAGGTCACAGGCAGACACCCGAGCCCGGCGCCCCGGGGACCGCCGGAGGGGTCCCCGACAGCGCCCACCCCGGACCCCGCCCTCGCTCACGCCCACCGGGCAGGCTGCAGGTCGGGGGCGCCCGGAGCCGCCGCGACGACCGCCCCCGCCTCGTTTTGGGTCTCCTCACCCGGGGCCGGTTGCCGGTATCCAGCTCGATGGCCCCGTTGGCCAGCTTCATGGCGCACTGCAGCGGCTTCGCCGCGCCGTCCCCGGCCGCAGCGGCCATGGCGCCGGACAGGGAAGGCTGTCGCTGCGGCGGCGGCGGCCGAGGGCGGGACAGGCTGCCCAGAGGCCGGAACCCAGCCTGCGCGGGGGCCGGCACCGCCCGAGCACTGGACCTCCGGAAGGGGCGGGGTCGACGCGGCAGCACTTCCGGCGGCCCCAGCCATAACGCGCCTCGCCCTGACCTCCCGTTGCCGAAGGGGCGGTGGCGATCGCAGGTGGCCTCGCGAAGTGGCTGCGAGCGCGTAAGTGCGACAGTCGGCACCCACGTTCCAAGTTCGTGACATGCCAAACGCCTAGGCTTTGCCGCGTCGCCCCTCGCTCCCTTCAGGGCGCCCCTGCCCCCTCTCCTCGCCCTTCCCTTCGCGCCCCGCCCCTCTCGCCCCGCCCCTCTCGCCCCGCCCGTCCCCACTTGCTCCGTCCGGCCCCGTTTCCAGGGAGCCGAACGGAGCCGAACGGAGCCGAACGGAGCCGAACGGAGCCGAACGGCGGAGTCGAGCGGAAACGAGCGAGCACAGTCCAGCTGAGCTGACGCGACGCTCTGGGCCGAGCGGGACGCACCTCGGCCTAGCGGCCGGGCCCAGCCTACCGAGCGGGGCCGAGCCGAGCCGAGCCGGGTCGAACAGGGTCGAGTGGCGCCGAGCGGGGCCGAGCCGAGCCGAACCGAGCCCAGCGGGACCCAGGCGGGGCGGAGCGCCCGGGCCGGGCTGTAGCCGCGGCCGCCGCCATGAAGCGGGACCGGCTCGGTCGCTTCCTGTCGCCTGGGACGGCGGGGCAGCGCGGGGGCGCCGGCGGCAGCGGCCGGACCCGTGGCCGCCCGGCCCGCAGCGGGCCGAGCGTGGACGAGGCTGCGGCCCTGGTGGCGGCCCGGCTGGGCTGGGGCCTGGCGCGGGCCCGCGGGGACACGGGCGAGGACGGCGCCGACGAGGCAGGTGGGTCCGGCCGGGCGCACGGGGGCGAGTCGCGGGTGGGCGGGCGGAGCCCGGGGCTCCCGTGACCGCGGCGTCTCCGCCTCGGCGTCCCTGGACCGCTCGGCCGACCAGGCCTCCGCGCAGCGAAGGAGTGAGAGCGGCCTGTGCTCGGCGTCCGCGGCACCCTGCTCGGGGTGACGTTTCGCAAGGCCGCTGACCCTTCCGTGCCCACTCTTCGCTCATTAAGTAACGATTGCTTGAGTTTTGCAGTCTGGCCGGCCAGAGTTTCGGTCCTGGCTTTGCCGTGAGCCCGGTGGCTTTGAGGTAGATGCTGAACCTCTCTGAGCCTGTTTCCTCTTCCTTAGAACAGAACAGAACAGAACAGAGGGCGCAAAGTGCCCGAGCTGCTCGCCCGAGGGTGGGATCCGCGTGAGCCCGCGCCTCGCCTTCGTGTGATGGATTGTGCCTTCGCTCGTGGAATCCCCCTGGGGGACCGGGAGGTGGGCTGGCCTCGTATTCGCCGCGCTGACCGCAGGCTCAGGGCGTGGATCCTGGAGGACGCTTCTTCAGGGCTGGTCTCAGGAGCATGGTTTGAGGAGGAAGGAAGTTTCTAGCGTCTTTTTGGAAGTTCTATAGCTGTGAAGGCATTTAGTAAAAAAAAAAAAAAAAAGTATGTGTCTTTTTAAGTTTATTTCTTTATTTTGAGAAGAGGGGGAGGGAGGGCGCACAAGCAGGGGAGGAGCAGAGAGAAGAATCCCAAACGGGCTTTGCATCATCAGCACAGAGCCTGTTTAGAGGCTGGAACTCAGGAATCCTGAGGTACGACCTGAGTGAGCTCAAGAGTCCATGCTTAACGTAAACCTGAGCCACTCAGACGCTCCAGTGTGTCGTTTTAAAAAATTAATTACTTGGGGCGCCTGGGTGGCTCAGTCGGTTAAGCGTCCTACTTCAGCCCAGGTCATGATCTCACGGTTTGTGGGTTTGAGCCCCACGTCGGGCTCTGTGCTGACAGCTCGGAGCCTGGAGCTGCTTCAGATTCTGTGTCTCCCTCTCTCTCTCTGACTCTCCCGTGCTCACGCTTTCTCTCTCTCAAAAATAAATAAAACATTAAAAAAAATTTTTTAATAATAATTAATTTTTTGAGAGAGAGACACACAGCACAGGGAGGGAGGGACAGAGAGAGAGGGAGACACAGAATCCGAAACAGGCTCCAGACTCTGAGCTGTCAGCACAGAGCCCGTCTCAGGACCCCAACTAACGTGAGATCATGACCTGAGCTGAAGTTGGACACTTAAGCCATTATATACTCTTAACTCCTTTGTTGTCAATTAATTGCCCACACATACGTATGGTTTTATTTCTGGGCTGTCTTTTCTATTCTGTTAATCTGTGCATCTGTTTTTATGCCTGTTTTGTACTGTTTTGATTACTGTGGTTCTGTAATATAATTTGAAATCAAGAAGTATGATGCTTTCAGCTTTATTTTTTCTCAAGATTACTTTGGCTCTTGGCATCTTTTGTGGTTTCATATAAATTTTAAGATTGTTGTTTTTCTGGGGAAAATGTCACTGGAATTTTGATCAAGGTTGCATTGAATGTATAGATGGTTTTCAGTAGCATGAACATTTTAACAGTGTTTTTCTAATCCACGAGTGCAGAACACTCCTTTATTTGTGTCTCCAATTTCTTTCATCGGCATTTTATAGTTTTCAGCGTGAGGTTTTTCACCTCCTTGGTTAAATTCATTCTTAGGTATTTTATTCTTTTTGATGCAGTTGTGAGACTGTTTTCTTTTTAATTTTTTTTATTTCTAGGAGAGAGAAAGACAGCGTGAGCAGGGGAGGGTCAGAGAGAGAGGGAGTCACAGACTCTGAAACAGGCTCCAGGCTCTGAGCTGGCAGTCAGCACAGAGCCCAACGAGGGGCTCGAACCCACAAACAGCGAGATCATGACCTAAGCGAAAGCTGGATGCTTAACCGACTAAGCCACCCGGGCGCCCCTTCTTTTCTTTTTTAAAAAAGTTTTTTTAATGTTTTATTTATTTCTGAGAGAGAGAGAGAGAGAGAGAGACATCGTGAGCAGGGGAGGGGCAGAGAGAGAGGGAGACACAGAATCTGAAGCAGCTCCCGGCTCTGAGCTGTCAGCACAGAGCCCGACGCGGGGCTCAAACCCACGAACTGTGAGATCATAACCTGAACCGAAGTCGGACGCTTAACCGACTGAGCCACAGGCCCACAGGCGCCATAAGACTGTTTTTTTAATTTGTTTTCTGATAGCTCATTATTGATTTTGTATCCTGCAACTTTATTGAATTTGTTTATTCTTAAGAGTCTTTTGGTGGAGTCTTTAGGGTTTTCTATAAATACCATATTATTTGCAAGTACAGACAGTTTTTTTGCTTCTGTTTGTCTTATTTGGATATCTCCTATTTCTTTTCTTGCTTAATTGCTTTGGCTAGGACTTCTGGCACTGTGTTGAATAAAAATGATGAGAGTGAGCATCCTTGTTCCTAATCTGAGAGGAAAGCTTTCAGCTTTTCACCTGTGAGTACGACCTAACCATGGGCTTGTTATCTGTGGCCTTTATTATGTTGAGGTACATTCCCTCTCTACCCAGTTTTTCAGAGTTTTAATCGTGAATGGGCATTGAATTTTGTTAGATACTTTTCTCTGCATCTGTCGAAATGCTCGTGATTTTAATCCTTCATTTTGCTGTTGTGTCACGTTGATTGGTTTGTGGATGTCGGACCATCTTCACGCCCCTGGAATAAATCCCGCTGGATCGTGTCATATGAGCCTTTTAATGTATTGTTGCGTTTGGTTTGCAGATGTTTTGCTGCGGATATTTGCAGCTGGGTTCATCAGGGATATTGGCCCGTAGTTTTCTTTTCTTGTGGTGTCCTTGTCTGGTTTTGTTATTAGAGTAATTGCAGCCTTGTTGGAGAAGCACTAGAATTATCCGGAAGGTTTTCTGGGCCAGAAGGTCCTCCACTGACCACATCTCCCAAAAGGCTGGGTTCAGCCAGGAGCCCAGAGCCAGAGCCCTGCCTTTGGCTCAGACTGGCCTCGTGTTGAAGGGACTGGTGTGGGAAAGCGGCACGCAGGGTTCCTCTCCGCGCTGACTGGGAGGGTGGCAGAGCATGGGCCTCACCTCCCCGCGGGCCGGTCGCCCGCTTCCTGGGAGCGTGTGTCTTCCACGCCCCGCACAGCGAGCAGCCTTGCCAGCTGACTTCCTGTCCTCCGTGCTTGCCCAGGACCAGGCCGGGCTCTTGCCATGGGGCACTGTCGCCTCTGCCACGGGAAGTTCTCCTCCAGGAGCCTCCGCAGCATTTCTGGCAGGGCACCCGGGGAGAGCGCAGACCGCCCGCCCCCGGGGGAGCGCGTGTTCGTCAGGGACTTCCAGCATCTGCTGGGGGTGGCTGTCCACCAGGACCCAGCCCTGTCTCCGTTCGTCTGCAAGAACTGCCACGCCCAGTTCTACCAGTGCCACGGCCTCCTCACGTCCTTCCTGCAGAGAGTCAACGCCTCCCCAGCGGGCCACCGGAAGACTTGCGCCAAGTAGGCACTCCCTCCTCCCTTCGTGTGCTGGGCGTCAGGGGCCACGTGCCCTGCGTCCTGGGGCTGATCTGGGCACAGGGCGTGCCGGGGAGCCTCTGCAGTGGGGAGACGACCGGGCTTAGAGCAGCTGACATGTGTGCCCACCAGTGTGACTGGTGTGAGGGAGACGGACAGACATGCTCGGGGGCGGGGAGGGCCACAGAGGGCTCTGGGCGTAAGGGCCAGACTGCATGCGTGAGAGGTGGCCTGTGGAAGGAGCCCGGTGAACCTGCGTCTTGTTCACGGCTGGCCCCACTCACGGCCACGCTGATGCTTTACAGGGTCGGTGCCCAGCCCCCACCAGGGGCAGAGGAGGGAGCGTGTCTGGGTGAGTGTGCCCTCTGTGTGCGGTGGGTGGGTGGGCTCCAGGCGGGCTGGGTGCTGACCGGCCATGGGTGTGGCGTCTCTGTGCCTTTCCTCAGTGGACCTGATCACCTCGAGCCCCCAGGGCCTGCGCGACTTGGTGGCCTGGGTGCATGGACACGCGGCCAGCTGCGGGGCCCTGCCTAGCCTCCAGAGGACGCTGTCCTCCGAGTACTGCGGTGTC